ATAATTTTCGCTAACTCTGTATTCAACAGTAGTGATAAATAAGTGCAGAATCTGAGACTGTCTAAAGAAAATTTTCCGTTGACTGAACTGTTTTTACTAATGATGGGAATTTACAAAAATTTCAAAGGTGTTTTGACCCTAGCTTTTTACTGCATTTGCGTGATGAATTTCAAGTTGCACTCAGAAGATGACCACGTCCTCCGTACCTGGAAAAAGAAAATGGGAAACGTCGACCGCCACATACAAGGAGTCGTGAATAGAAGTAACCTGAAACCCAGTTTTGTACAGTTTAACGAAGGTACATTACGACCCTGCAGACAAGCGGTTGATTCCACGGAGATCAAAAGTGGGAACATCTTCACAATGCTGGTAAAAGAGGTGGCCTGGTGTAAATGACTCATGCTTACACAAACTTAAGGGTTATGTAAGTTTCTGAGTTTTCAGGAGACCTAAAAGTCTGACCTGAATGTGTCACTCGCTGAGCTGAAGATAGTCTGGTATCTACTCCGTTCGGCGGGCTGTTGGGGAATTCACTAACTGCATCTTATACAGGTCGACCGCAGAGAGATACAGGAGGGCAGTCGGACCTCGTATTGGTCAGAAGGTAGTCGCTGCAACTTTCTTCTGTACCATATGCGATGGTGGTGCTCAGTGATCGCTTGACGGTTTTGAGTTGAAGGGCATGATCGAATCCCTTTTACTGTACTCTGGGCTTAGCATGGGCAAGATAGTGTGCTTTGGATACCAAAGATGGGTTTGTGGTTATGGTGCTACCTACAAAATCACTGGTTACGCATGGTAGAATATGTCCAAGTTGAGTCGACTTCGGATATTTTTATACCACTGTCTGATGGAACGCCTCAAGGGAGTGTTTTCCTCTAGATTTGGATGAACTGTGACCTACGCAGGAGTTTCCGCCAATATATAGCTTGGCATTGTCGTCTTTCAGCTGCCGCTGACGGGCATCTACGAGTAGGTCGTAGTGGTTGAACAAATCCGTTCCAACGATGAGCACAGAAACATCGGCCAGAATAATATTCAGTAATAACTTGACCATACCAACTAATGCGAATCTGACGGGTTCCTGCGTTCTACCGTATAGTTTCCGAACTTCCACGAGTGACGCACAGCCGAGGGTTGGACCAAAAATATCAAGACACGGCATGTAGTAAATTAGTGACAGATTCGTGACAAAATCCGTGGTAGTGTCAAAGCAACAATAAACTGTATCGAAACTACAAAAATACCCCAACACTGCCGTTGGGTAACTACACAGTCCAAATGTCCTCAGGGACAAATGCGCACCAAACGGCAAAACTGGTCAAACGAATACAGTTGTTAAGAACCTGAGAGTCAGTAAGAATATTCCTGACAAAAGGGGATCAAAACTCTGTCTACTAGAATCACGTCCACAAATAAACGTTTCCAGTAGCCAGTCAAAAGATATGCATCAAATCACAGCACAACCGTAAGTTAAACCAAAACAAAATGTCGGGGGCAGTAAAACAACGTCACGTTGCCAGCAGCCAAGCGTCACCTAGTAGGAAAGTGGAGAATTCATGATGTCTCAAACATACAAAGACAAATGATGAGTGTAAGGTCAAATGTCCAAATAACATTAGATCGGTCAGGATCAAAGGCACACTATCCATAACGAGGGTAAAACTATTCAAATAAATGTCAGCACTGTCAAATAGGGTGGCCAGGAGGGAGTTTCAGATCATTTTTTCCGTTACACTACCTTTTTTCAAATTGCATGACTGGCTTGTCGTTAGCCCGCAGCAAACTGCGGGATGACCCATGTTGAAATCCCTTTACGGTTCCTAGGAGAAGGCTGACTTATACGCCATGCGTGGCCCACGACAAACGGTTTTTTCCATGGGCTAAGGTCATCGATGGCGCGTGCCATGGGAGCAGTTTCACGACTCCACGAAGCTTTTGTCGAATTTCTGGCTTCTTCGCTACATGTATTATGGAACCAAAACTATTTGTTTTTGGCCCCTCGAGGTTTAGCTTTTGGATGGTCCCGTGGACTGCTGCTGCGGAATGAAGCACGCTGTCACGCGGTTGTTTCACGTGACTTAGTACTTCAGGTCCATAGAAGCTGAGTATCACAAATGTAGGAAGAACGTACGTTGGATGTATGTCTGGTTGAGATCCCCGATATCTTGTCGGCCAAGACTACCAGGTATCCGATGGCATGTGGCGTCACGCATACGGTTTTCACTAGCTTTGAGGGCAACAGCTGACAGAAAAGAAGATCGTCGAAGGTTCTCCGGTCAGCGACTTCTCACATTAAGTGAACAGAAGCAGCTGAATCATTGCCCAGCCCCGTACTGAGGACCAATTCATCGAAGCCACGACGGTCCGTGAGATCACCTTTCTTCAGAACGAATGCTTCGAGTAGTGTATAGAGCCTACCTTCTTCAGGGTTGACTATGTGCGCAGTTATGTACCCGTTTAATTCCCATGGTGCTGATCGTGCGACAGGAAAAACTTGGGGCTGAAACTTTGTGACGTCCCGTTCTCGGAAAATAGACTTGGTATGCGGAAACCATGTTTCTGAGTTGTCTGGCAAGCGCGGTACGAGCTGGATCTGATGAGCTACCGGTTAATTATGGCCAACATGGAAAAGTTGTCGAAAGAAACACAAAAATGCAAAAACGAACTGACTCACCAGTTAGAGAATTGGTCTTTCGCGAACTTCATATGCGCAAACGCCCCACTAATTCTTTGTGCTTTTCGGATGAAGAAGACTGTGAGATCAAGAGTAGGATATTTGATCAATCACGTCAGAATGCGGGTACATTCAGTCCAAATGGCCAGGGGATCGTGTACGAGAAACGCAACATAGGTAGACAACAGATGGCGTGGTTGCTTGACCATGTGCCTTCAGCTTAGCTAGCCTTTCAAGACTATGAGGTTCGGCATCCCCACTGAATCCCATCGGTCCCAGGACAGATGATTCTGGCGAATTATTTGTCACTACTGTGGAATAACCCGGTACGCCTCGCCTAAATAAATTATTTCGTTCATACTGAGAAGGTTGGCTTCCTTCCACCAAAATAAATATAGCCCATTGTTTTAACACACGATTGAAGTAGGTAGTGCAAAGCAAGTCTATGTGAGGTTAAAAAGTCTAAAGAGAGTGAATGAAGAAAATTTATAGGCAATCCTTACACTTCACGCTGGAATGATATTTTCAAAAGTATTCAAAGATAGTTATTTTGCGAAGTTAAAAAGAAGGTGGTTTATGTTTTATTCAACAGCTGAAAAAGTTCAGGTAGTGGAATAAAATATTTGAGCATAAACGCCAAATTTTTGAAATCGTTTTAGTTTTCTGCGGAATGGCGCGATGTTCAGGGGTTTATTTCGTGGAGTCAGTAGGGTCTGTCGTGAGCTCATCATGCATTCGAGCATGTCAGTTGAACGTGGAACTTCCAACTCAACATCATACAGAATGTTCCTAAGTAAGTGTAATAATAATGATGGCTTCAAAAGTATGTTCATCCGAATGGCTCCTTCAATTTTGCAAGTTGTCGCGCTCTGCAGCTTGTCTGATAAACAAGATGTGATGTAATCATTGTTATCTTCAAAGCTTTGCCGCTCATTTGACTTCGTAGGAAGTTTGGTTTTGGATGTACTGACCTGCATAGATCTTGACGAATATAGTTTCGCGAAAGTGACATTTGAAATACTGACTTCATTTAAAAACTTGAAACGAGCCATCCGTTAGTGTTGGACCTTCGACCTTAAGTTCGGGTTGAAGTTGGTTCATCAGAGCTAATTATTTATGTCGGTTTACTAATATATGCACTTTTCAAATAGGTGGCGGTGAACTAAAAAGCTTTTGTTAGACCTGCTTTCAATTCTGTCGTCAGCGTCGTAACTCTTAAAGCTTCACGTTAACAAAGAAATAAATGTTAAGCCAAGTTAAATTGGTAATGCATAATATTGAGGGAGACTGCGATACTACGCTAGGTTGCCATTTTTGGCATAGTTAAGCCGAACTTTGGAAAGGTTATCACGCAAATACACCTATCTACTAAGAATAAATCGGTTCATACTGACCACAAGTTTCCAGTAAGCCGTTGACCCAACCAATCACGTTGAAGTAAGATTCGTAACATCTGTTGTGCCACACAAACCGGATGATTTACCCACCGGTCAATTGTGCTCCAAGGTTTATTACTTTAATGTTGAGTGCAGACACAAGTCTGTAACAGTGTTGTCAAGGTATCATGTTTAAAGTCGGCTATAGCTTTACAGATCCATTTGTCGTACCTTCATCTTTGCTGTAGTATCGTCTTTCCGTTATCTTTGGCTTTGTCTTTTTGAGATTATTGTCGTGATTTTCGCTGTTTTCCCTCTCATTTTCTTTCACTTCTGTGTGAACGTTATGAAGTCAACATCAACCTGGGACCTGGCAACTCTACGAATGTGAAATGTAACGTAAACTGTTGCAGACACGCAAAATCGACGTAGAACCTTGCACACAAGTGCATTGGTCGAAGTTGTCACACCTCACAGTAGTATATGAAGAGTAAGTGGATTGAACAGGATTGGATGTAACGTCTCATTTCACTCATCCCTTTCTGGAATGCGCATTATGTAAAGAAAAGACGTCCGTGAGGTAGCCTGTAGTATATACCACTTCTACAGCACAGGTTAAAATTCTGCAACTTAAAAGGCGTAGAAATCGCGCAGTAACTGCAAACTATACCAATGCAGATCTCATGCTGTTGATTACTAGTATGGCGCAATCTTGTGAATGAATATGGCATCAGAAGAACTAGTGGATGTAGTCCTGTGTACTTCTCTATTTTCGAAGAAATCTTTCCAGATCACTCGGGCTTAATTTTCAGTGATTTTTTGGTAGAAGTCTACGGGTTATGTAAAGGCTTCGAAACGTTAATTGTCGTTATTGCTTCAGGTTGTAAAGCTTTTTAAAATAACTCAAGATTGCCTTCTAATAATAATGACATGTGAACTTCATCTCATCCGCTCTGTTAACTGATTGGGTTTTCATAAAAGTTTGGTGACAAGTAAATATGTAATTTCGTTTTAAATTAGTCAGGCATATTGTTTACGACGTAGTCCCATTTTCATGTGATACGTGTTTGCTAGGCTTTATTTACAGCCTCGAATTTCACGCTTTCTATCGACTTGAGCAGACTGCTTCATCCTAGAAAGTAAGAAGCCTATTTGAAAGCCGATCTTCTTTCCTGAGATATCCTAACTGCTGGAATACTTCTGTTAAGTATATGTTAAAAAGAGGCCAGTGATGTGGTTCAGAAAGGTAGTTAAAATTAGTAGTAAGGGATCGGTTCATTCAGTTGATGTCATTCTCGGTTGAGAGTATTAGTGTAACAGTATAATTTGGGAACTGTGGTGTAGTTCTATCTCACCACTGTCCGCTTGTTATGCATCGCACGGTGAAGCAGTATCATTATTGTTATTGTCATTATTATTATCGCTGTTATTATTATTATTGTTATTAGAACACAAACGTGGTACAGTAAGGGCACAAAATAATATAGCGACACTATGAAGACGTAAAGCGAAGGGAAGTTGATAAAAACAAAACACTAGAATAGAGTGATTAGAAGGGCGGTCCGGTAAGGTACATTCGAAACGAAACATTCATTACTTTCCAGAATCAGAAGATAGGAGAAAGCTACAGCATGGTCGCCACTGGTTTTGATTCTGAGCTATATCTGGTGATATATCAAGCCACTGAGTTGAATGGTCTCTCTGACCCCACCCAGAGAGTCGCGATGAACCAACGGACGCTAACCCAAAACAACTATCCTTCATCCGACGGCACCACATCATACGCTGACCACCCCTCCGCTTCTTTCATCTGATCCCAGGGTTACCAAACAATGAACTGTATGGAAGCCGTTCGGACGACATGCGTAACGCATATCCAGGCCACCGAAGCCGGTGTTTCCGGATGACTTCACTTACTGAGTGGTGATTTCCATCATGCCTAAACACACGCTGTCGTACCTCACAATTACATGGTGTTGCTACCGGATACAAGCAATTCTATGGGGACAATGATCAAAGACATAGTCGTCGCATATCCTTAGCTCGGAGAGGCTAGATTTCACAGGCATAGAGCAGAATAGCCGTTCTCTGGGCAGTAGATCTACACCACCAAGATGCACTTATTTTAAAGCTGTCTCAAAAATGTTATCAATGGCAAAGTTGCAGAGGAATGGGGAAATCGAGCAACTCTACCTAACCCCACTGCCGGTTTGGAACAATGAAGACAGATGATTGTATGCCCCCACTCTACCTGAGGTGTTATTGTGTAGGGATATCAAGATGTTAAGACATTTCTTATGCACACCTCTCTCCAACAGACAGTTCCAGAGTACAGTTATACCTAACGAATCGAAGGCAGCTCTAATATCAAGAAACAATTGTTGGCCTGCAATACGTGTGGCAGTGTTTAAGCATCTGGCGGAGGGTAAACACATGATCGATGCATCCGCCGCCTGAACGAAACCGGGCCTGCTCCTCGTGAATAATTTCCTCGCGTATTTTGCGAAGTATGATAGCCAATATTTTCGACGCTACTGGTAAAAAATATCCAAATGATTGTCATATACATTACGCAGACTTTTTCTAAAGATGGATACAACAATGGCCTCATTTCAGTGATGGAACACTCTCAGTCTGCCATACCTTCTCCAACAGTCTAGTCGGTTCCCTGACTAGTTATTCCATCCTTAAGGAGAGTTGATAGCTGCTACCTTGTCGTGGTGGTCGGGCGTGCATATCACAATGACTCAATGAGCTATGCTGGTGGGACACTTGTTCTCTCGAGGTCCTACCATACCAGAAAGGTCTGTTGGATAGTGGTTAAACGAAAAGCAGTTACTGTTGTGGTGTAAATTGCTACACTATGATTAGGGTCTGAGGGCGAAATCGTACTGCTGCTAGCTGGATGGGTGTGACAGCAGTAAGGTGTTTCCCTTGGATGACCAGCGGTGTCATGCTGATGCTGCCTTCTCAGTGGGAGGGGGTTAGAAAAGGTCGGCCCCCAAAATAACACTCCACCGTGCCCCACGGTCTGCCGGGCCGACGGTGTTGGTTCATTTGTCGTTTCTTCTTCTACTATCCGGCCCCAAAACAACAAAGCTCTAAATAACCATACACGAAAGGCTGTGTGTGACAGGCCTCAAGCAGATGTCCGATGGGCTCTGTGGTCAAATAAATCTCTTTCAGGTACTTTCACAAGAAATAGCCTTTTACAGTATGGGCACCCAGGAACTGTCAACCGCCCTCACAACTCTATCAGCACTCGAGTTTCCTCAGACTGCTATCCACCTTCTTCGTCATTACCTTCTAATCTTCCTTCACGCCCTCGACCAACGATACTACATCATCTTCAATTTCTCATAGCTCTGCAGCCTTTGACAACGATCTCAGTCCACAGAATAGCATCCTCGATCTCCTTAAACCACGCTCCAAACTACATATTGGAGCCTTCAATGTCCGCACCCTCAGTCAAATTGGTCAACATGCTTCATTGGCAAAGACTCTAGCAACTCAGGCCATGGACGTGTGCTGTGTTTGTAAGACACGCATACAGGACCCAAGTGCGGTTATTCACCTAACATCTTTTGGCCAATCTGGTGAGTCCGCGAAATTCATCCTTCGAGTTTCTAGAGACTCGATAGCTAGCTCTCGTGGTCTTGCAGGTGTATGCATGGTATTAAGCATTAGGGCAGAAAGCTCACTACTAGACTGGATCCCAGTTGATAGTCGCCTCTGCGCTATCCGACTGAACGGCACAGTGAGAACTAAAAGGAATAGGGAGACTCGCCGTTGTCTCTTTGTAATCTGTGCTTACGCACCCACTGGCTGCAGTTCGGATGAAGTGAAGGACGAGTCCTACCGTAAACTATCCAGCCTCCTCTCGAAAGCGAAACGTTGGGACGCGGTGATTGTTGCAGGTGACTTCAATGCACAGGTGTGTAGACCGAGTGAGGCAGAAAGGTGCTTAGATGGGGCTTTCTGAATCCCGGGTGAACGTACAGATAACGGTGATCGCCTACTACAACTGTGCTCAGATAACCACCTATTTTCAGCTAGCACACATTTGAGACATAAAGAAAGATACTGTCTGACGTGGCATCCACCGAGCTCAACTCAGCGATAGACACAGACATAGAGCACATTGCTATTAGTCATCGCTGGAGAGGATCGGTGGAAGACTGCCACTTCTTCTGGAGTACATGTTTGGGTAGCGACCACGTGTCTCAATGGACGTGAGAAAAATTTGGCAACAAAACCACTACGAGTGCTTCTGGACAACGAAAACACAGAGCCGTGTTCAGTGAGAATTTGGCTAGGGAGTTATCGGAACAAAAGACTATCACTCATCCAGAAGAAGCTTGGTGCCTTCTCGAGTCTGCTGTAAAAGCAGCGCTGAAGACCGTAGCCGACTCCGAAATAGTGGTTAAGAAGCGTCAGTGGATATCAGCAACTTCTTCCGAACTAACGGATGCACGTGAACACCTCCCTGCGGGTTCTGAGTAGAATGAAGAGCGAGCGCAACTTGAAAGTAGATTGAGAAAAAGTCTACGCAATGACCGCGAACAGTGGTGGGCAGCGAAGGCTAAAGAGATGGAAAAGGCAGTGGTGATTGGTAACAGTAGACAGTTATTTAGACTTATTAAGGAAACTGTAGGGAAAAGGTCAACTGCGGTTAGTGGGGCAATAGCGGAGAAGGACGGATCTGCGATTTACTGGGAGGGAAGACGACTGGAACGATGGGCAGAACACTTTGAGAAACAGTTTAACTGGCCTCCAGCTACCATTGCGTTGCTTGCTATCCGGTCGGATCCTGAATGGAACATTGAGATGGGCCCCCCAACACTAGGAGAAGTTGAGAAAGCGGTAGGTAACGTGAAACGAGGAAGGGCGGCAGGACCAGACGGACTAACTCCGGATGTATGCAAGGGTGGTGGTAAGGTGTTCTTAGTCAGGTTAACGGAAGTGTTAACCAGTATGTGGGAATCAAATACGATCCCTCTGAGTGGTATGAGTCACTGATTATTCCAGTCTTCAAGGAAGGTGAGAAGTCCTCTGTGATAACCACATAGGAATCAGCCTGACGAACATAGTGTCCAAGATTCTAGGTTCTATAAATGTTCGACGTCTGAGTGGAGCTCGTGAACAGCAGGCCTGAGAAAACCAGGCAGGCAGGATTTACACTCGACCACGGGTGTATCGACGAAATATTTACACTGCATCAGGTTCTGGAACATAGGTGCGCTACCGACGCCCGACACTAGGTATATTTCTCGACCTGAAGGAGGCGGCATTCTTCTCATTTGATCAAGAAGTCTTATAACAATGTCTCACTGAAAGGTGTGTCGAGTATGCACATCACCTTATTGAAGGCTCTACTCCAGCATTTGTGTGTGTGTTAGAGCCTATGGTGAGGTGTCCAGGGAGCTATGCTCATCGAGTGGTGTCCGTCAAGGGTGGCCTCTGTCTCCATTCTAATTCAATTTATCATAGATGTCCTTATAGATGTCTCCCTCTCGTCACCTGATTACACAGACGGCATAGTCGCAGGAGAATTTTCGTTTGACCTGGAATATGCAGATGACATGACATAGTCATGTTGGTGAAGACGCCGACAAGATGCAGAGTCTTCTGAACACTTTGAGTGTCAATTTGAGAATATTTGGGGTTCGTTTCTCACCACCCAAATGCAAATTATGGCTCCAAGATTGGTCTTCAACGGTGCCCTACCGTGGCTAACAATAGAGAGTGAAGTGATTATGTTAACCACTTCGCTTACCTGGGAGTAGGATCAGCCCTAGTGGCTAGCTCAGTAGCAGATGTAATCTCTTCACGGATACAAAAGGCTCGGTTGTCTTTTGTCAACTTACGTCACCTGTAGCGCCGCCGTGGTATCCGATTGTCTATTGAGGGTCGCGTGTACTGCTCAGCAGTCCGGTCTGTTCTACTGTATGGCTGTGAAACATGGCCATTGAAGGTGGAAGACATGAGAAAGCGATGTCAGTGGCACAGATGTATACACACACATTATCCTCATGTTAACGACGCTATACGAATCTCATTATTTTCTCATTCTTCCTTTTTCTCTTTTGTACTTTATGTTTCTTTTGACTGAATTTTCCTTTCTTCATCTTCTACTACACTGCTTTTTATTTGACTTACTGATATGAGTTGTGGCAACTCGGACGCAGTAATGCCTGGTCGTATGTTGATGATGATGTTGGGGTAAGTTGTCAGGGCAGGTTGCCTCGTGTTCCTTATAAACCTCTGATTCGATAAGCGAGTCTATGTTAACTGACCATGGAGCGCGATAAACTGAAGGTGACAAAGCAGTTCTCTTTACTGATGACGTTTATCCTCAATGGATTCTACTCTAAACGTCAAGCGTAAATAATACTATATAATACTGCAAAAGAACTATACGTAGACATTTTTTAAAGATAGACACAATGGCCTCATTCCAGTGATGGAACACTCACTCTGCCATAATACAGTAAAAGAACTATGATGAAAGAGTATTGGTGAACACATCGCGAAATGTGTCGCAATATGAGCTTAGATATTAGCTTGAACGTTTAATGTGATATCAAACCTTCACAATTCGCTTAATTTCTCGAAAAATGGAGATGTATGATTTCCGCGCTTTTGATGCTTTTACTCACTTAGTCTTGGTCTTCGAGAGTACGACGGTTAATGTCATGAGATTTTGTTTGTCTTTCGATGGACTATAAATTATGGTTTAATGGATGGATTACCTTTCTTTAAAGCTCACGGAGGTTCTCCATTGTCATATTTTCATGATGTTCCATTGTTGACAAATGCAACCGGTAACTGTTACAATATGGTTGTTGAAATTCCTCGTTGGACAAATGCGAAAATGGAAATCTGCAAAGAGGAGCTTATGAACCCCATCAAACAGGATGTGAAGAATAATAAATTACGTTATGTAAATAATGTATTCCCACACAAGGGTTATATCTGGAATTATGGCGCCCTACCTCAAACATGGGAAGATCCAAGTCATGTAGATGAAAATACGAAAGCCAAGGGTGACAATGATCCTATTGATGTATGTGAAATTGGCTCAAAGATTCTGCCTTGTGGATCAGTCATACCCGTCAAAGTACTGGGAATATTGGCAATGATAGACGAAGGTTAGTTTACGCGGAATTTTTCATCAAGTAGATCATATTTTAGTTAATATTCCACCAAAAATCTCTAGTTCTCGAATTACCAATGTTAGTTGCAACAAGAATTATTTTGGCCTACGGAAAGGAGTAGTCCTCAACTTAGTCTCATTTAAATTTCCTGATCAACTGCTATCTTCCCTATTATCTTAAAATTTTCTTGTTTATTTTTACTCCTAACCATTTCACATTATTTACGTTTTTTCTGACTTGCCGTTTAACTCTAGTGATTTCAACTCAAAAAATAATCTTAGCTTCTTAAAGCTTCGTTTTGTATAAACGTCGGATGTGACAAGATTAATAAGAGGTCTCACTAGCAGGAGAAATACTTGTGAATCTTATTTTTCAGAGATGTGCGAAAAGCACGTAGTCATTTAACTAACTCTGTTTTGTGTCTCATGGATCTATTGCTCATCGATTAGACAGTCGACTTTCTACCACGGGTTTCAATCTCGTTTCTCCTTCTGAGATCGGAGCAACCAGTTAAACCAGTCTACACAGTTAGTGTAGCTCATTACTCAATGCACTCGGTAGCTGAGAGAGTTGCTGAAGTAACAATCTAAGGCGTTTCAGAAAATTGTAGCTAATCTGTGTGAAAATCAAAGTTTGGGCCTAAGGTAGGAAAACTGCACTACTCTACTTAGTTCTGGTTGGTGCGTACTATGACACTGATCTGTGCAATTACGCAGTAGCAACTAAAACGGATCGCGGAATGCTGTGATCTAGTAGTTCTTAAGTACACTGCATGACAACTTTGCTTTGAACAATTTGGGGATGACGTTTTTTAAAAGACCTAATCAACTAGAAAATCACCGTGTTACATTTTCGAAACCCCAACTAGATGAACAGTGAGTTGTTTTGACAGTGTCTGATTGGAAAAAGTGCCCAGCAAGTAAGTAATGCTAATCAAGTTTGTCTGACCGAACTGTTGCAGCTGTATGAGAGTTTGTGGGTGTGTTCACTTAAAATGCTCTTTATTAACATTTTCAACTATTACCTATGTGTTTATGGACATAAACCTAGGTGCCTCTGATTTCACAGGGATCGACAAACCCTCAGAAGGACACCTGCTTGAACTGGAGTACGCATACGAATTAGTCTTGTTAGGCGATGACACTAACAAAATGCAAGGTTTTCTGAATGCCTTGGTCAGAAATCGGAGTATGTTCGACTAACATGCATTTCGTGCCTGTCAAATGTTAAATTTTGCTTCAGGACTGATCCTTATCAACTCCTAATTAACGGATGAGGAATTAAGTTACAGAGTAAGTAGACCACTTCACTTTCTCCAAAATTGTCATCAGTCCCAACGGGTTGCTTGGTGACGCAATCTCAGGTTGGATTCAAAAGGGCTGTTTTGTTATTTGCTAACTTTCCTTATCTCTGGTTTCGGTTAGTATTTGACTGAGCATACTGTGCTGTAGTCCCCCCTGTTCCATTATACAGCTGCGGAACAGCCACTGAGTGGTCTCTGTCTAGTAGTAATTTTCCGAACCATATGGTTCTTCTGATTTTCATTTAATGCAGACCTCGCGCATAAATAATTTCATATATATTTACCCTGTTTCTTCGTGATTAGTTATACAATTTGTCCCTTCCAACCTTCTACAACAAAAAAAGTCTGTTGTTTACGGCTTTGACAGTTTTGCAGTTTGAATCATCAATATTTACAGCTGAATAACCCGTTCATGTTGATGAAACAAATGAAATGGTGCACAGTAATTTGTTTTAACCAAGATCCAATATTCATGGGTCTCAAAGCCGAACAGAAACGGCTAAATGGTCAATGAGAAGCTCTTGAGTCGAGCTTCACTCAAGTGTCTTCAGTAAAATATCTTTAAAAACAAATCAAATAGTACTTGTCATGCCTTTCTGAAATGCATACTTTCCATCCACCCGCTATGACAAAGTGCAGGATGTTACAGGTTTTAGACCATAGATGCCTTCGTAGCATCGCTCACGTGTGGTGGAATCATCGTGTGAGAAACGGTGAGTTTAGATGTAGGTTACTACATAAGGAAAGTAAACAAGCCGATGACGTTGTGAGCCTTCGCCAACTGAGGTGGCCTGGGTACGTATTGTGCATGCCTAGTCACTGCCTACCTCAAGGTGCAATGTTACCTGAAGTACGACGAAGTTCAATATGATCAGACCAAGACGTCACACAGGTCCATGAAGTCTCTGACTGTTTTCTGAGCCATGTAGGGAGGTACAGACTGACTGAGTGGGATCCTGATGAGTATAGAAAACAATGGTCGGAAATCATTAGTGGCATGGCTGAAAAATTAGTCGCAGTGGTGCAAATGTATTAACTTTATGACGTCTTCTAAGGCTGGATCATTTCTTATCAACCTTGATTCTCAAATTCCTTTTTCCATACACTTTTCTCTAATTTGATATCACTCTACCCAGTTGCTGCTTTGAAGCGTGGCAAATTAAACCGAGACAATTCTGTTCAAGGTTCTGTACTGGTTTTCACATCTGCTGTGACAGTGGCAAGTTTCATCCGTAATTTTGCTCTTGCTGTCTCATTCTTCAACATGTTCCCAATTCAACCCAAAGTATATACATTGTATCCTTTAAAACTTGGCTTGGACATATACTGTGCATGCCGAGCCGCCGCCTACCTTGACGTGCCATGCTAGGCTAAGTTGGATTAGGTTAGAAGAGGGTTCAGGGTGGCCAGACCTGACACCAGTCAATGGAGTCCCTAACTGTTGGTCTGAGCTGTATTAGATGTAAACTGCCGGGTTGGAGTCTCCGAGACGAAAGGAATCAGTGGTTGAGGACTCTTAGTGACATGGCAGGAAATTGGTTACAGTGACGCAAATGTATTCACTCGCTGACATCTAAAGCTTAAATATTCGCAGTAACTTCTATCTTCAGGTTTTTTGTTCTCTTACATTACTTTAACTACTTTTATAAAACTCTTCTATCCTCCTGTTCTTTTTGTACTACTGTGAAGTGTGGCAGCTTAAGCCGATGGACCTGTGTGATAGGTTCTACGTTGATTTTGTCAGTTCTCAGTCAAAACTTGTGACAGAAACTCAACAGTAGACACAAATCATAAGTTTCCTGATAACTTGTAAAAGGTTGATCACTTGTTTACTCCAATTAAGGATTATATCGATCATGTGTGCATCTATGCCATAGTAATCACGAGAAGTATACAAATGCTTGTGGGCTTAATTTAAGTAGTAACATATAAAGAATATATTAAAAGACAAAATGGTTGAATCATTGGCAGAGAAAGTGATGTAACCCTGTATCAGATTTAGTGTATTCTGAAAGCAGTGATAGGAAATCCTGGTAGTGTGCCACCAGAGAAAATTAAAAATTGATATGTAGACTACTGAAGTGATACTTCAAAGTTTGCAATCAGATTTCCGAAATAAGCACCAAATTTTGCGACTAGTTTTGAGGATGTCGCTCATACCTTCAGTTAGTACACAATATGAACTCATACATTGTGTGAAGGTTAGCTTTTCAATGATCTCACTTCTTCATTTATAGGTGAAACTGATTGGAAGGTTATAGTTATCAATGTATCTGATCCAATGGCTGAGAAACTAAATGGTTAGTGTAAATTTATGCTATATTTTACTTCAAAAAAGATATTCAGGATGTGGATACCCATATGCCGGGGCTTCTGAAGGTTAGTTAATATAGCTCATTCAATTCAGTCAACTTTATTTCAAACCTTTTTCAGCACATGCTTGATATTATTTTTGAGTTCTCTAAATATGTAGGACCGCATAGTCTGAGCGCATATAGATAGACTGGGAAATAAAAATAGTTCGTGTGATTGTTTGATAGCTATGTTCATACCATAAGAAAAATGTTTTGTCTGTAAAATAGTTAACTCATAAAAGTTAAGTTCGCTTCTGTTTTAGGCCACAAGAGATTGGTTTAGGTACTACAAAGTGCCGACGGGAAAACCAGAAAATATATTCGCATTCAACGGGAATTCCAAAATAAGGTAAGCGCAACAGTCTTTCTTATTTCATGCATGCTATAAAGTGTTTATCATTATTGGTTTCCGTCGTTGATTTTGTGAACTACATTCAGCATTCAGCGTAAAACTGACTAGATACCTAACAACTAATTCCCATCTTTTCTACTTAAGAGCGAAGACACCCTATTAGTGAGGTTTACGCTACTTTTGGCTCGCTTATAGACAAACAAAAAGAAAACACATTTTTTAATTATTACAAATCGTGTTTTGTTTAGTTTATGCTACTATGGTGATCAGTTCATCCCAAATTACTTCGGGACTAGTTTTCAACGGTACCCCAACTATCCATAGAAAGTCAAGTGGTTGGGCGCGTCGAACACTTCACTTACCTGGGATGTCGGGTCAGTCCTGGTGGGTCAGTGGCCGACGAAATCGCACGGATACAAAAGGTTCGGTTGGCTTTTGCCATCCGTGACGCACCCGCGATATCCGATTGTCTGTTATGGACCGAGTGTACTGTACTGCAGTCAGCTCCGTTCTACTGTATGGCTGTGAAACATGGCCGTTAAAGGTAGAAGACATGAGAATGTTTCAGGTGTTTGACTACCGCTGCCTTCGTAGTGTAGACCGTGTTTCGTGGTGTCACCATGTGAGTAACACAGAAGTCAGACGTAGAGCTTTAGACAGGAGATGGCAGATAGTTGGTGCGGTTGTGAACCTTCATCGACTGAGATGGTTGGGACACGTGTTGCGTATGCCTAGCCACCGTCTGCCTCTTCAGAATGTTGGTCGAAGTAGGTTCAAGCTGGAAAAAGGCTCGGAGTGAGCAGACTAAAGCATGACATCATTGCACAGTGACCTTGACCATCGTTTGAGCCATGTAGGGCGATGCAGGCTAGCTGGTTGGGGTCCGCGGGACAAGGGAAACCAGTGGTTGGAGACTCTAGGTGATATGACTCAGAACCGATGTCAGTGGCACGGATTTATGTACAGATTATCCTCATCTTAACCTCTATACTTTATCATCTCTTTCCTCCTTTTTCATCTTTAATTTATTGCCTTTTTAATTCACATGCTGATATGAAATGTGGCAACTTTGGTCGTTACGCAGTAATGCCTGGTCCTATGTTGATCTTGTTGATGACCAATCCATCACTCAGTTAAACGATTATGGAAAAGCATCTTTGTATGAAGTTGTCCATATAGTGTAGAGTAATTAATTTCTCAGATATGTGCGACTAAATTGACACTAATCTTTCAGAAACTGTAAACGAAGTCTGAGGCCATGTTTTAGTCTGGCCACCTCGGGCCTTTCTCCAGCCTGAACCTACTTCGACAAACATTGTGTGATGAGGCAATCGGCGAACAGGCATAACACATGTCCCAACCATCTTAGTCGATGAAGGTTCACAACCGTGTCAACTGATTTACCTCTTCTCCCTAAAACTACACCTAACGTCTGGATTACTCACGTGGTGACACCACGAAATACGGCTTATACTACGAAGGCAACGGTGATCAAACACATCAAGCCTTCTCATGTCTTCCACCTTCAATGGCCATGTTTCACAGCCATACAGTAGAACAGACCGGATTACTGTGTGACCTATTTATGTCCAGGCTTGAGCGGCAGAGTGAGGTCACCAGGTAATGAACAACGATGGCTGAGCCAAGAGTTGGTGCTGGTCAGAAACAAATTGGGTTTGCACAGTTCTATAAAAGACGTTTGCCACCATCTGATCTGCGTTCAACTACTCCCATTTGACCAGCTAAGCGACCACCCTGTCCGCCTAGCCTCTGCACTGAATTCCCTATCTTGGTCTACTACATATGTCAACGGATCCTGTTGAGGTAACATGATCGACAGTAGAACTTATGCAGTCAGAGCATAGGCAACGATGAGAAAGAGACACCATTTTCCTTACCAGATACTTCTCAATCCAATCGAACTTTCTGACTTAACAGCACTCAGACGGCTATTGATAGGGATCTAATCGATTAGTCCGGCTCCGGCTCTGGCACAGTGTGACCACGACACTAGAAAGATCAACTACTAACGCTGCAATCCCTGTATTAGCTCAATATAGATACACTTTTTGAGCGGACAGTTGTGGACGTTATTCGTAACATTTCATCTTACATGCATGTCTCTATATGCATCAATAATTCGGCTTTTCAGAGTCTTATCCAAGCATGTCTCGTTTGATTTGCATCAAAGTGTGAACATTTAAGGTGGACATCTTATGCGGTGTGTGTGCTTTCAGAATAGTTGTATCAATTATAGCACTGAAAGACAGCTTTCTGAAAGCAACTGTTTAGCGAATCAAATCAATGCAGACAGCCTTGGATTTCCATTCGGTGACTACCGGATGAGTGAAACAAAAATACAAAAAAAGATGGATGCGAATTTGATAACGAAAAGACAGCATAGTTCATGTTATGGTGAACAATAAGACTTCTCAGATCCTTGTAAAAGCCCTGAATCACTGAAGCACTACCGAGTTTCGAGAAGGGCACAAATTCCTCGAGCAAGAAATTTAATAAAGATGATTTAGTCCGAATGAATTGAGTAAAATGACGAAATATTTTATGATTGATTTATTGTCAGAGTAAGTAGAGAAACAAGGAATGTGTAAGGAATGAATGAAATGAAGAAGTTAGAATGGGGGATATTTTAAAACGCTAACAATTAATACCATGAAAAGAGTAGAGGTTAAATAAGTCTTTTGTGTATGGAAAGCCCCGAGTTTTCTATTCGAATTGCTAAGCTTCAGCAGTACAAAGAAGGATGTGGATGCTCAATGATTCTGGCAAGTTTCTTTTCACTTTGTAAATAACTTCAAAGGAGTTGGTTTGTTGAGATTAAACGATTAGTGTCGACAAAGGGTTTCATCATAGCACTTCTTATAGATCCACTGTTACATGCTTTAGCCACGAAGCATAGTGTTCTTAAACCCTTTTAGACGGGACCCACTGTGGACAACCAATATACGCAACTTCACAGGAGCAGGTGAACTGTTAAAAGGCACATAGAGGTTGCCAGATGCGAGATCTTCTCTTTCAGGTTATTGCTATAAAAAGGTCTACTGAATACAACTATCCTGAGAGTTGCTGCGAAGAACGTTCTTTTCAAGCAGCTTGAAATCCTTCTCGAAAGTTTATGTTAATAGTGTCAGCAATCAGATCACCTTTGAGGTCAAGGTTCATATGTAGCATCTTTTTCAGTATTGAAATTGAGTCATACCTTGGGGATTTCAGCTTGATGTTTTTATCCGTAAACCGAAGTGGATATCCGTTTTTAATTCGAATTTTTATTAGGATATTTATCTCATTTATAGCACCTGAGCTACAAATGCGTCGGATGCGAGTAACAAGGGATATGATTAAATTTCTCTTCCCGACAAATGAACACCCAACTGTAGAAATTTGTTACTTCCCCCCACTCTCTGTGGCTCCCTCTATGAATTGACCTCCCCAAAATTTCTGTCATTCTTTTTTGTTAGTTCTACGCAAAGATAGATTTCCGATCTGTTTTCCACTTTAAAACTGGCTTCTATCGCCTGTTGGCAGCTGCTAAGTACGTACATTATGCGATTCAAGTCACATATCACAAATAAAAATATCGTCGACATAACTTTTTATGCAGCTAGAAATTGTTGATTTCAAGCAACCAGTTCCCAAACTTGCCATGAAACAATCTGCCATTTATATGCCCAAGGGAGGTCCCATGACAATTCCTCCTTTATGTCTGCGTATAGTGTCGTTGAAAATGAAGTGTACATAAAGTGCATCGTAATAGTTATTCCTTCCGATGGACAGTTGGAGCTGTGGCTCATTGGTTTAGAAAGATAACTTGTAACTAATGGGTCATGGGTTCCAACCCCGCTCTACCTACCAAGGTTTGGGCAGCCAGGTAGTAATCATCAAACCCTACACAACACATGTGGCTCACTGCCTACTGCACGAATGTGCGCAAGGTTGCTGGTTGCATTTCGTTCCGTTCGTTCGTGGTATTCAAATGTTCAAGATGTTATCATCTATAAAATTACACATCAAACAAATAGTTTCCATGAGTGAAACACTACTGAAAAAGTGATATAACGTCGTTTGTCAGAAACACTGTATTCAACCGATAAACTTGAAGGTTTCCCGAAGGGGAAACTATCACCTTACAATCTCTCAACTTCAGCAAGAGCTGGAAGCCGATCCCAGCATCCCATCACAATGTCACTAGGTCGTGGGCAACTAAAGACTAGCTTTAGGTTATTTGTGTTTCTTGAATAGCTCTATCCATCTTCTCTACTAGTGACTTCCGATTCATCCTCCGCTATAGTCTTACTAAACCTTGATATCTTTACCTGTTCCCTTGATTAGCTTAAGTAACTTTTAGACATTACTTATCGTTGTGACCTTTTCCATCCTTCAAGCCTTCTCTCACCACCACTGCTTATGGCCAATGTGTGCACTTTTTGTCAGTCTCTATGCGAGTTTTTCCCACTTCTCATTCATCTGGTAGTCTGCAAGAATGCACTCGTGTGTATTAATTAATTCAGTGGTAACTGCTGATATACACGGACGTTTTCCAACTTCTTTCTGACAGTTACATCCGGTCATTACACTGCTTTTACAACAAACTGGAGATAGCAACATCCTTCTTCCGTATGACTGATGTTGCGCTGTTCCCATGATGCTGACCAGTTATTAATTGAAATAAACCTCAGTAATTTCATCATTGAGCGGTGTGCGGAATGATCTTGTTGTTGTAGTTCTTCTACATCCGATTAAGACAGACTTGCACGTAATGCGTCCCAACATGTGCTCGGTAACTAGTGACAATCTTTGACCAACCTTTACTAATAACAGCACTATGGTCTACCTATGTCCATCGTTGATTTGGAGTCTGTGGACACCGCGTCAGATGTCTCACTTCATGTCTGATTTTTGTGCGAACTAGAAATCTATATCATGAATGAAATATGTAAAATCCCAATGAGACAGAAAAATAAATTTCCGAGGTTCGCAACTTCTTGGAAATGGCTTCTTCAGAAAATAAAACCTGTACAAGTTATCGCATGTTTAAATCTTAAATGGCAACAAATCAGATCACCTCCAGATGAGCATAAATGTCATTGTTACCAGTGAGAGATCAAGACAAAGATGCTAATGGGTGTGAACGTGTGAGTAAAATACTATGGATGACGAGTTCGGTTTGTACCTTTATTATGATTATTGTATAACATGTTATTTTTGGCTATGCTGTACAAGTTGGTCTTCCTGTCTACTGAGTGCATTAGAATTTGACAGTGTGAAATTCCTCAGCTATCCATCTTTCCTTTTAGTTTGAAAAGCCTTTTTAAATAATCTTAATATTTTCATTATCAATTTAGTGACTGCGATAGATGGTATGTACAGCGATTGCCGATTTGATTTGTAACTTGGGTGTTCTTCAGCACGAATGAAGATCTCGCGGGACGATTCCCTAATGTAGTAATGGTTTTGGCCATCGAGAAAACTGTAATAAGTGTCTAATGAATGGTCTCACTTCCTATCACATTTCCATAGGACCAACAATACGATATCGTCCACGTTCTCCATCATATATTGGCTATTCAATCCGTCTTATTGATTGCTTTCATTCTGTGTACAGTTAAACAGAGATATTTCTGACTTGGTAGATTCTCAGTGAAAAAGTGTTCTTGCTAGTATAGGTCGTTGGGTTATTGTCACATGCAAACCCGACCACCACGTCAATATAGAGGCGATTGGTCTTGTGTCGAAATATGGCTTTGGGACCAGTACTGCCTTTTTAATCCTTTTTCTAACCACCGCCTGTATTATTGTTTTCAGCAGTCTATGTTAGATACATTTGAAACAAAACATTCATTACTTTTTAGCAGCAAAAGTTAGAAGGAAGCTATGGCATGACCGCCATTGGTTTCGATTCCGACCTTATTTGATGATATCTCAAGCCACTGAGTTGCGTAGCCTCTCGGACTCTACCCAGAGAGTCATGATGCATTAACAGATACTAACCCGAAACAACTATCCTTCGTCCCACGGTGCCACATCATACACTGACCACTACCCTCCCGCCCACTTCTATCTGATCCCAGGGTTAGCAAAGAATGAACCGTTTGGACGACGTGTGTAGTACATGTCCAAGTCATATATATATATATATATATATATATATATATATATATATATATATATATATATATATATATATATACTCAAAGTTTCTGCAAGCACACATGTTTGTCAATTGTCAAGTATTTTATTAGATAGGAAACTTTCACAGGTTAAAATCTTGGGTTTTCTGATTTGGTGCACTTGTTTCATGCGAGATAATGTAATACAGTGACAGTAGTCTGGTCCTATTTAGTTGACTGTAACAACTCTGTGCACCCTTCGTTCTTATTTTCTATCTGCATCAATTTCTTTATGACCAAGGAATTCGCCACGAAGATTATCTCTCAAACTCACGAACAGTGGCAGAAATTGATATCTACCAAAGTGGAGGCTGGTTCACTCATACGGTTAGTAAGGCTTTTTCATTTGATTTTTCCAACGATTTCGTTTCATTGTTATAATTGCAAGTACTTATGTCGATAAGTGTGATTTTCATCTAATTAATGACATGTCACGTTTGTTACGCTGCTCACATTTTTGTTTTCAAGAGAAGGCATAAGTAGGTAACCAAACAGTCTACTATTACACTTAACCGACTGGTTATTAAACGGTCGATATTATATAAGGGTAGTTTTCAATAATTATCGTCAACTAGAAAACCATTGAAGATCTGGAGAACCGGACAGCCATTTGTCTTATTCTGACACTCTTCAGCAGTGCACATCCACAACTCTGCAAGGGATGAAAATAAGAACCATGAGGTCTTGCTAATATTCAGCCCTTTAGGTTGAAATCCAATGGTCCACTTTCCCAGTTTCCGGCAGTTTATGATTTAGTGCAAACATTATGGAATTATCATCGATGTTCATCTGTTATGCGGTTTGACTCCGCTGGCGACCAACAAGCACTGGATCTGAAATCGTTCAAGCTGTGGCTCACTGGTTCGGGGAGATGACTATCAACCAGAGCGTCATAGGTTCGAACCCTGCTCCACCTACCGGGGTTTTGGCAGGCAGGTAGCATCATCAACCCTCACACAATAGGTGTGGCGAATTGCCTACTGCACGAATGTGCACAAGGTGGCTGAATGCTTTTCGTAAATCAGATTTACTTCAATCCTAGTTGATACTTACAGTACCAAATGTCGTTGCATCTCATAGACTACCGTCATTGTTATACAAATCTAAGAATTCGAATCGACAGATAAGTGTTTAGCAAAATCTGTCTTGCAAGTAAGTGATATTCCCGTAATTCATTTATTGTGGTGTATAAAGGTCAGCATGATGCACTAAATCACTATTTGTGACCAAGTTCGTCAACACATACATTTCCCGACTAAACAGTTATGTGCCTGTGAACCGTGTGAAGTGTTTGTGCAACTCATTTTCAACGATCTTATCACATATTCTCTAATTCTAGTAATTTTTATTTTTATTTTAAATGCAAAAGCAATGTAGCTAATATGGTACTCTCAGTTACTCTCTGTATTAAGAATTTTTACCCCTTTTTCACATCTTTTCATATAAATTCCCAGGACAAGTACGTACGCATAATAATATTGTTCAAAATATGCTGCCAAATAGACTACATAATCTATACCTTTTTCTTAATATTTTGTCAAAATTCATAAAGAATACTGAGATTTTATTGGTGCTTGGATATATAAGCTGTGCATTTATAATGTGTTCCATACTCATAGAAAAATTGTATACTTTCTCAGCTGTATGTCATTAATTGTTAATGTAACCCCTGAACTAATTGTTTTCCTTCATATCTTAATAAATGTTTCGTTTACATCAGTTTAAGTAGTATTGGTCCCAAATAATTGGCAGTCTTGGGATAAATGCTGTGGCAACTTGGACTGTTATGCAATAATTCCTGATCCTGTGCTGCTGATGATGATAATTAATTTATTAAGTTCGCCTTAGGGTTTTTGGTGTGTATCGGACTATGAAAGGAATACCAAAATGAAACTCCTCAAGTGTTAAGTTTTGCTTATCAGTTCATTTTTATCAGATATGTATCTCATTGAACTTTGCTTTCAGGCTAAATAATTTCACTCTAGTGTTAAAGTTCTCCATCATATTAATGGTTAAGCCTTCTTAATATCCATTTCTTTTACCTAATTTTTGGGTTTCATATTTATATATTTGGCATAGATTTAAAAGACTTTGCAGTTTGCCAAATTTTTCAGAAAGTACAATTGCATTTTTTTATTTTGATCAATAGTGCTAATGTTACTGTGAAAGGAAGTCCCTATATGGTATCTAAAGAAGATTTTGCCGACGCTTTACAAAAGTATGAAGACTTCAAATGTGGAAGTGAACCAGCAGATGTAGCTAGTGAGTTTTTTATGTCCCCCCCCCTGCAACCAATCCTCCCTTGGCTCAATGTAGCTTTTTCGTGTACTGTACTCAATAGTTAATTTAATTCATGAAGCTTGACATTCATGCTGAAACCACTGGATACCAAATTCATCACCTGTAGTCTTTTCTCTTCATTCAACGGCAAATCCGAATTAGTATCGTCGTTTACTGGTTCCTATAGCAGGTAATGTGCCGTACTCATGCTTTCAGGTTGTCTAGCTGCATCACTGCCCTCACCAGTTACAACAACGGTTGAACCCTTGACCCAGTAAATAAAAATTGAGTGTTTATTCAGTAAACCATCACTCCTTCGTAGTTCAGACACTTCATAATAAAACTTTGGTTTATATCTGAAAAAACCTGCTCTGTTACCTTGATAGTTGACACTGATCCATGTGACAAATTTGCAATTTGAAAAGAACCCAGTATCCAGTCCAAAGAATGGAACAACTTTCTTTCGCAAAATTTAAAGTAGCCTATTCTAAGTGACTCCCGTTAATTAATATGTTAGCATAAGTGCTTCTTCACCTTTAGATGCAGTCATTTTTATAACTAGCTTAAAAAAAATTATTTGTTTAAAGTTAATAAAAATCATCAGTATATATATATATATATATATTGCTGCATCTAAAATTTCAACTTTATTTAGTATTACAGTCCTGAATTGCAAGCGAACTAGCATAACAATAGGTGGTGTACTGTAAATAAATTTTCTTTATGAAGAGTTCACACGCAATGTTAAAGTTTTGTTTTGGTAATATTTTGAGCAGAATCACTGAGCGTATTCTCATCTGCAGTTAGGATTTCCTATTCCATATATAGGTGTCATTTTTTGTGGCATTCCTTAATATCAGCACACTTACAGCACAATGTCAACGGATTTTGCATAAATTTGAGTGGAACTGCCTTTCAACAGCTTGTTGAAGGGTGATACATCTGCCAAGTTCACTTACTTTAAAGCAAGTTGTTTGAAAAGTCCACAAAGTAGACAGGAAAACCTGGTATTACTACGTAGCGGTTCAAGTTGTCACCTTATTTCGGCACATCAAGCGAAAATGCACTAAGGTTAAAAATGAAGAAATAACGAAAACAGTCGAAATTAGTAGAAGAACAGCAACGAGTAATGAAAGATAACTGAAATCCGGTTTGACAATTGAGATGAAGATAATGTGTCGATACGTCTGCGCCACTGCGATCGATCGCCTAGAATCTCTAACGAATGGCTTCTGTTGTTACCCGAACCCCAAACCAAGAATTCTACATTCCTTTACACGGCTGACACCAGCTTACAAAATTTCAGAGACTGCTTCAATTAACACTGTGTTACAAGACAGAGTGGGGTTAGGAATAAGTAATACATTTCCCAGACACCTAAGTTGAACAATGGCATCAACTGACATCCCTTTTTCTTGAGACTTGATGATAACCACTTAAGGTGCACAACTCGCTTGTTAACTCACCATAAGCTCTAGCACACCCACGGGTTTCTGAGTATAGACCTCTATGCAGAGTGATGCTTTTATCTGGTATGCCATAAAACCTCTTCATAAATGGTATCACATACCATCTTCAGAGTGACAAATACAACCAGTTACCGGTGAACCTACCTGTTATCCAACATCTGATCAATATACATGAGCTCAGTGAGAAAAACCCATATCACAGGCACTGCAGAACAGGTAGGGACGTGCTTTCTCTGTGTCCAACCTTTTCTAGCACCCACTCATCTGCCTATGAGGAAAAACAGCTTGATACAACTGGTCATTCACAAGAAATATCTCACTGCTGTCACACTCTGTCCAGGCAGCATTAAGACTTCGATACTCAACACCCACCATAGCGCAGCAATGTGCCCTATAATGGTAACTGCTTCTTGTCTCATCACTGTAACGGACACTTTTGGTGTGGTGGGACCTCAAGGGAACAAGCATTCCAACCGGTATAGGTCGTCGGGTCATTGTGATACGCAAACGTGATCACTGCGTCAAGGTGGTAGCCATGAGTCATGTCACAGAGTGGAGTAGATGATGGTATTTTGAACTAGTGACTGAGTTGTAGGAAACTACACATTGTCTTTGTTATTAGATTGTATTCTGGAAGAAGTTATGAATAAACTACAGCAATAATTGTTACCCATTACTTTCAGGAAGACTAAGCCACTTATTTTGAAGGTTTAAACTGACTTCACATCTGCCAGTCTGTCAGCTCTGCTTAGAATAGAGTTGTGGTCCTTCCTAAGAGTAGGCAGGAAATGCTGTTTCTCAGTTATTCATGTTGTTCCACGAAATGAAAAGTAGTTCGTTATATCATCACGTACTTGAACTGGCTCTCTTTCGGCAACTTGAATTTGGAGATTACGAAAAAAGTAGAAAACAGATAAGTGTAGATGTTGTATTCATCATGGTGACTGACTCTCAGTGGGATCCAGAACGCTTGTTTCCTCTTATTTGGGACTTGTCAGTCGGATGTACCTGCACCCCAGTGATTGATGTCTAGCAGCGGGAAACTAAAAGTATCAAACAGCAACAAATGATGCCCGTTACGCAAGTGATGGTCATCATATCCTAACGGCCTAGTGGATAACGCTTTGGCATTTGAAGAGAAGTGTTCTGGGTTCGAGTCTCAGTGGTAGCGACATCTCTCACTGAAGTGCAAGTGCAGGTACATTCAGTTGACGAGTCCGAAACTAGACGAAATGCGTGTCGTGGATTCTACTGCCAGGTACAACGAAGTTAGTGACTAAGATTGTTTCAGCTTCTAATGCTGATATTCACTTAAGGTTAGTCGGTTGGGAGTTTAGCTCATTACTATTATTATATTATTATTATTATTATTAGTCCCTTGGGTTCCTAGTGGAACATAGGGCTTCAGTAGCACGCCTCCAGTGACCTCTGTTCTCTGAGATCTTTTGAACCTGGTCCCACGACAGCCCACAAGCTCTCATTTCCTGCTCGCACGACCTCCTCCATGTCACCCTCGGACGTCCAACTCGTCGCTTCCCATGGGGATTCCACTCGAGGGCCTGACGCGTGATGTCCTCAGTCGGCCTTCTCAGTGCATGGCCAATCCATCTCCACTTCTTCCTGCATATTTGTTGCGTGATAGGTTCTTGGTTGGTTCGTTCCCAGAGTTCCTTGTTGCTTATTTTTTCTGGCCATCTGATCTTCAGCAGCGAGCGTAAGCAGTTGTTGATGAATGTCTGTAGTTTATTGGAAATACCTTTCGTGACGCGCCAAGTCTCTGAGCCATACAAGAGCACTGACTTGACGTTGGTGTTGAAAATCCGTATCTTGTTCCGCATGCTGAGTGCAGAAGATCTCCACACTGGTTTCAGGCTAATGAACGCCTGTCTTGCTTTTCCGATTCTGACTTTGACGTCCTCGTCCGTCCCGCCTGTAGTTGAAACAGTGCTTCCTAGATAAGTGAAGGAGGTTACTTCCTTCAAGTTTCTCCCGTTGACGGTGATTGGAGTTTGTTGTTGTTGTTGTTGATGGTGGTGGTGCGGTATCTTCATCACTTCTGTCTTCTCTATATTCACCTGAAGTCCCGTCTTCGCTGCCTCTTCTATCAACTTGTTAGTTTTTGCCTGCAGATCTTCAAGTTTATGTGACATTAGGCATAAGTCATCGGCGAAATCCAAGTCTTCTAGGTTCTTTTCCGTCGTCCAGTGTATCCCCCTCTTCTCGCTGCCTACTGTTTGCTGCATGATCCAGTCCACCACAATAAGGAATATCATGGGGGATAGTAGGCAACCTTGTTTCACTCCTGTCTTCACTTCAAAGGCATCACTGAGCTTCCCATTGTGGATTACTTGGCATGTGGCATCTTCATATAGTTGTTGAATGAGGCGGATAAAGGTTTGCGGTACTCCGTAGTATTGAAGCAGTTTCCAAATTACTTCTCGGTCGACGCTGTCAAAGGCCTTCTCAAAGTCGATGAAGTTGAGGTAGAGAGCTGATTGCCATTCTATGCTCTGTTCTATGATGATACGAAGCGTTGCAATTTGGTCTGCACATGATTTGTACTTCCTGAAGCCTGCCTGTTCCGGTCGTAGTTTTGAATCCAGTGCGTCTTTAAGCCTCTCCAGGATGATGCGGCTTAATATTTTACTTGGGGTGGACAGGAGAGTGATTCCGCGCCAGTTCTTGCAAGCACTGAGGTCTCCCTTCTTCGGCAGTTTGACAAGGTAACCCTTCTTCCAATCGTCAGGTACCTTCTCTTCCTTCCACACCTTCTGCAATAGTGGTGTGAGCATGTCCGCTGTTGTCTCTGCATCTGTTCTCAGTGCTTCTGGCGGTATTCCATCTGGTCCTGCTGCTTTCCCGCATTTCAGTAGCTTTATGGCGTTCAGGACTTCCATTTTCGTTGGGGGATTAATGTTCACTTGTAGTTCAGCGGCTGCAGGTGGTATTTCTGGACGAAGTGCAGGTGGTGGTCGATTCAAGAGCTTCTTGAAGTGGTCGGCCCATCGTTTCCTCTGTTTCTCTTCTTTTGTAATTAAATTTCCTTCTTCATCTTTTATTGGTTTCATCTGTGTTGGTCTCTTCCCTGATAGCAACCTGGTTATTTGATACAATGTCGTCAGGTCTCTCTTACCTGCAGCCTGTTCTGCTTCACTTGCCAGTGTTTCGTAGAAGTGTCTTTTGTCTTTGCGTGCACTCTTCTTCACTTCTTTGTCCAGTGTTTTATACATTGTGCTCAGTTCCTCTTGTCGTTGAGCATCCTTGCACTGGTTTATCTTCTGCTTCACCATCCTCCTCTCCTCTATCAGCTTCCAGGTATCCGTCGAGATCCATTCCTTGTCTTCTTCTTCCTTCCTAATACTGTTGTGCAGGTTTCTTTCCACATAGCTTTCAAAGACTTCCAGTGTTCTTCCACACAGGTTTCTTCAGGGATGTTGCTCGATGTCTCCCATTTTGTCTTGATGGCTGCCTTGAAGATCTCCTTTGTAGTTTCATCCTTCAGTTTCCGAGTGTTGTACTTGAATTGAGGTCTATCACCAGCTTCCTTGAAGGCTTTTAACTTGATTTGGAAGGTTCCTTGCACTAGGTAGTGGTCTGAACCTACATCTGCTCCTCTTCTTGACCTTGTGTTAAGTAGACTGCGTCTCCATTTTCTTGAGATTGAGATAAAGTCGATTTGATTTTTAGTGTGTCCATCTGGTGAAATCCATGTCGCTTTGTGGATATCCTTGTGCCTGAACACACTGCCTCCAATCACCAAATCGTTGAATGCGCAGAATTCTGCAAACAATTCTCCATTCTCATTCATTTCACCTAGCGCCTCTCGACCCATGGTTAGTTCTCTTCCCGTGTTGTCCCCTCCCAGTTTGGCATTCATGTCGCCCATTAGAATTTTGATATCGCCAACTGACGTCTTGTCCAGTGTTGATTGAAGTTGTCTGTAGAAATCCTCCTTTTTCTCTTGCTCTGCATTATTTGTAGGTGCATAACATTGTATGATTGTGACCTTTCTTCCTTTTGAGTTGAATCTTGCTGTCATGATCCTGGAGGAGATTGGTTCCCACTGCATGAGAGCCTTCGATGCTCTTGAGGACATCATGATAGCCACTCCCTCAGTGTGCTCGTGGTTGGCGTCTGGGTGACCGGAGTAGATTATTGATTCTCCAGTTGACAGTTTGGAGAGTCCACTCCCATTCCATCTGCTTTCGCAAATCCCAAGCACTTCGATGTTATACCTTCTCATCTCCTTTGCAATCTGGGCTGCCTTACTGGGTTCAAACATCGTGCGGACATTCCATGTCCCCACGTTTACTTTCGCTTTCATCGAGAGAAGACACATCGGCCAATTGGCTTCCCGAAGGCTTTCACCAACTGGCGTCATTTCGCCTCTCCGATTCCAGCGGGGAATAAGTTTGTTTTCATTTTTTATATTTTGTTTGTGCTTTGAAGTTTCTTTAGCGGTTAGATTTGTTTTACGGGGTAGGGTTGCTAGCCCTATGCCCAACCTTCCCTCTTTACCCGGGCTTAGGACCGGCTAGTAACTAGTAAACTAGTTAACCAGGCTCATTACTAATAGCACCAAACTTTCGAACAATGAACTCTTGTTTCAGATCATCCTCCACCTACGTGGGGTCAGTTTACGGTCATGTACTACCACTCTCGTCACATAGTTGGTTAATTTTGCTTTCTAATGTACGAGCTTCTATTGAGCTAAATTATTTCTCAAACGGCTAATGTCATTCATTGTAATTGAGAATAAATCTTTCTGTTTTATGAAATAATTTTATGGAAGGGCGTTGTCTCTTTGAATTCTAGGTGTAGTTTAATCTGCCCAAACCTCTTCTCAATATTGTATGTATAGAAATGTTTATATGTTTTACCCAAGCACTTGCTTCTTTTGTTTAAATTTTTAATTGATAAATTATTAAGAAATGTCGTAATGATCTTATTTTTTTTATCTAGTTGAACAATGGCACTATTGCAATCTGAATGTTTAAATGCATTGGTAGTTGTCGCTGTTGTGCATTAATCATGGTACATTCTTCATTATAGCTGCATAACAAAAATTATACATTTATCGTATATATTTCTACAAATTATGTGATCTTTTTTTTGTTGTTTGCTTTTGCCTTTGTACTGAGTGTGATATGTATCTCTATGTATAGTGGTCATTAATAATCTATCTAAATTAGAGCACTTGCAAGAAATAAATGTATGCTTATTTGGATGTTGATGATTTTTGAAAGCAAGAAAAAGAAGAAGGAATTTGAAACATCTAGGCGTATCCCACTTGACTTTGCTACATTTTATTATCGTAATTGGTGCAAGTTTTTTTTTCGATTTATTTGAACCCAAAAACTCAGGGTGATCATAATAGGTTAACACGTTTGTTACTATGGTGTACTTAAGATGTTGAGCGTGGAAGAATTCTTATAAGCTTCCGGTGGTGTCACTGCTGAACAGTTCAAAACAATTTGTAGGTTGTGATGCATTTTCATTGATCTGCATTCAGTTTAACTATTTAATGCTTAGTAATCACTGAAGAGTCTCAAGTCTTTGTGTAGTAGTGTAACGATTATGGTTGTATTGACTGTCACTTAGGAATTACTGTCTTCGCAATCTGTCGATGTGATTATTGTAATGTAATAATAAAAGTGGGACTGAAAGCTAGACATTGTGTACAGGGATGTTCTCCACTATACTAATGATTCTCATCCTCTTCACACTCCTCAGTGGTGTGCGTTTTAGTATTTCATCTTTCCAGTCTTTGATATACCTACTAAGATGTTCAAATAGTGATACTAATCCTCACGCTTTTGGTGCGTCTCAACGTAGAATAACTTTGTTAGGAAGTATGTTGATGCATCTACTTAATGTTTCGGGAAACTGACGCTTCTGCACGTACTTCATTATCGTGAAAATACTCATGCCATTGGATTGATGTCGTTTCAACTTTCTTATACAAAGAATAGGCTTATCAGTGTGGGTGCTTTTTACTGGAAATAAGATAACCTATTCTCAACTGCCTAAGCAAAACTTCAGTCATACAAATGATTTATTTAAAATAAGTTTCGCGTGGTATTGAAAGTTCATTTCAAAATATTTTCCAGAAGCAAAAGATGATACAAAATACTGTATTGTCAAACACTACCCAGTTTATAAATTTCAACTTCATAAACAATATCAACATGGGATGAGAGATTACTGCTTCAATTTCATGAAGAAAAAGTGTCAATGTAGCTCTAATCAGAGAGTATGGGATCAGGTACATATGAGTATGCAGGTGTACTAAGTAGTAAACAAATTCAGTATGCCGTTTTTATGCAGAGATCAAAGATTATGGGTGCATAAGTAGCCTTAGTTGTAAAGCAGATTCTCTCGATGTCTGAGAATTAACAACACAACCGTTTTTGGGAAAATTCCTCTTATAAAACAACAGAAGACGCCTTCAGTCAGCATTTGCACTCAAATATTATCCTCAGGTTTCACTTATACACGTTTATGGATATGTGTAGCGGGATTATTTCCAGCATCAAGACATTGTTTACTTTATCTGAAGCTGATTTTGAATGTTATCTTTCAACACGAACCAATACGATAGTTGTATCATCATTTTTTTATGTTGTCTATGCTTATTGACAGAGGAATCAATGTGATTAAGGAATCATGACAGGTCTACCAGATTGTACACATTATATGTTCAGTACATACAGCTGTTAACAAATCTAGACCTCACTTTTGGTGGAGTTTTATCCATCTGTAAAATTTGCAGTTTTCAATCTCTAGGAGTTACTCAACATTGCTGTGTATCATGTTTGGCTTCGAGCGGTTGTAGACTTATATATGGCGATGCTCTGGGATCTGTGTCACGTTCTTGTTAGTGCCTGTCTAGAGGATGGTTCCGAAAATGAGCAAAATATATGTGTGAAAATAATATTACAATTCATCAACCTGGCACAGATGCGTGTATTAGGTCATTACCCTGCCTAGTGTGTGCAGCAGTTCGAAAAGGCAGCACGCAGAAGCCTAAGTCGGTTAAACTGCGAATTGAATGATTTCTCTTAGAGGTTTCAAGAAGTGCATTGGTCGACATCTGGTAATCTATTCGTGAGCAAAAGCTTATGATACATTTAGTAATTCGCGCTTGTAGTCGTTGAAGCGAGGTTGAATGTCTGCCAAAAATATAGGTCCCCACTAAATTGTCGACACACCTAGGTAGTATGCACCAACAAGCTCGATGTCTAATCGTAATTCTGTTTACTTATCCAGGTAAAGCATGGGCAGTATGGTTTGTCTAATAGATGTATCACGCATTGAAATAGTATTATTTACTGGGTAATAACGTTTCGGACACAGTTCAATGTACATATTCATAGCAAGGTAACTGTTAGACATTATTATTATTATTATTAGTCCCTTGGGTTCCTAGTGGAACATAGGGCTTCAGTAGCACGCCTCCAGTGACCTCTGTTCTCTGAGATCTTTTGAACCTGGTCCCACGACAGCCCACAAGCTCTCATTTCCTGCTCGCACGACCTCCTCCATGTCACCCTCGGACGTCCAACTCGTCGCTTCCCATGGGGATTCCACTCGAGGGCCTGACGCGTGATGTCCTCAGTCGGCCTTCTCAGTGCATGGCCAATCCATCTCCACTTCTTCCTGCATATTTGTTGCGTGATAGGTTCTTGGTTGGTTCGTTCCCAGAGTTCCTTGTTGCTTATTTTTTCTGGCCATCTGATCTTCAGCAGCGAGCGTAAGCAGTTGTTGATGAATGTCTGTAGTTTATTGGAAATACCTTTCGTGACGCGCCAAGTCTCTGAGCCATACAAGAGCACTGACTTGACGTTGGTGTTGAAAATCCGTATCTTGTTCCGCATGCTGAGTGCAGAAGATCTCCACACTGGTTTCAGGCTAATGAACGCCTGTCTTGCTTTTCCGATTCTGACTTTGACGTCCTCGTCCGTCCCGCCTGTAGTTGAAACAGTGCTTCCTAGATAAGTGAAGGAGGTTACTTCCTTCAAGTTTCTCCCGTTGACGGTGATTGGAGTTTGTTGTTGTTGTTGTTGATGGTGGTGGTGCGGTATCTTCATCACTTCTGTCTTCTCTATATTCACCTGAAGTCCCGTCTTCGCTGCCTCTTCTATCAACTTGTTAGTTTTTGCCTGCAGATCTTCAAGTTTATGTGACATTAGGCATAAGTCATCGGCGAAATCCAAGTCTTCTAGGTTCTTTTCCGTCGTCCAGTGTATCCCCCTCTTCTCGCTGCCTACTGTTTGCTGCATGATCCAGTCCACCACAATAAGGAATATCATGGGGGATAGTAGGCAACCTTGTTTCACTCCTGTCTTCACTTCAAAGGCATCACTGAGCTTCCCATTGTGGATTACTTGGCATGTGGCATCTTCATATAGTTGTTGAATGAGGCGGATAAAGGTTTGCGGTACTCCGTAGTATTGAAGCAGTTTCCAAATTACTTCTCGGTCGACGCTGTCAAAGGCCTTCTCAAAGTCGATGAAGTTGAGGTAGAGAGCTGATTGCCATTCTATGCTCTGTTCTATGATGATACGAAGCGTTGCAATTTGGTCTGCACATGATTTGTACTTCCTGAAGCCTGCCTGTTCCGGTCGTAGTTTTGAATCCAGTGCGTCTTTAAGCCTCTCCAGGATGATGCGGCTTAATATTTTACTTGGGGTGGACAGGAGAGTGATTCCGCGCCAGTTCTTGCAAGCACTGAGGTCTCCCTTCTTCGGCAGTTTGACAAGGTAACCCTTCTTCCAATCGTCAGGTACCTTCTCTTCCTTCCACACCTTCTGCAATAGTGGTGTGAGCATGTCCGCTGTTGTCTCTGCATCTGTTCTCAGTGCTTCTGGCGGTATTCCATCTGGTCCTGCTGCTTTCCCGCATTTCAGTAGCTTTATGGCGTTCAGGACTTCCATTTTCGTTGGGGGATTAATGTTCACTTGTAGTTCAGCGGCTGTGCAGGTGGTATTTCTGGACGAAGTGCAGGTGGTGGTCGATTCAAGAGCTTCTTGAAGTGGTCGGCCCATCGTTTCCTCTGTTTCTCTTCTTTTGTAATTAAATTTCCTTCTTCATCTTTTATTGGTTTCATCTGTGTTGGTCTCTTCCCTGATAGCAACCTGGTTATTTGATACAATGTCGTCAGGTCTCTCTTACCTGCAGCCTGTTCTGCTTCACTTGCCAGTGTTTCGTAGAAGTGTCTTTTGTCTTTGCGTGCACTCTTCTTCACTTCTTTGTCCAGTGTTTTATACATTGTGCTCAGTTCCTCTTGTCGTTGAGCATCCTTGCACTGGTTTATCTTCTGCTTCACCATCCTCCTCTCCTCTATCAGCTTCCAGGTATCCGTCGAGATCCATTCCTTGTCTTCCTTCTTCCTTCCTAATACTGTTGTGCAGGTTTCTTTCCACATAGCTTTCAAAGACTTCCAGTGTTCTTCCACACAGGTTTCTTCAGGGATGTTGCTCGATGTCTCCCATTTTGTCTTGATGGCTGCCTTGAAGATCTCCTTTGTAGTTTCATCCTTCAGTTTCCGAGTGTTGTACTTGGGTTGAGGTCTATCACCAGCTTCCTTGAAGGCTTTTAACTTGATTTGGAAGGTTCCTTGCACTAGGTAGTGGTCTGAACCTACATCTGCTCCTCTTCTTGACCTTGTGTTAAGTAGACTGCGTCTCCATTTTCTTGAGATTGAGATAAAGTCGATTTGATTTTTAGTGTGTCCATCTGGTGAAATCCATGTCGCTTTGTGGATATCCTTGTGCCTGAACACACTGCCTCCAATCACCAAATCGTTGAATGCACAGAATTCTGCAAACAATTCTCCATTCTCATTCATTTCACCTAGCGCCTCTCGACCCATGGTTAGTTCTCTTCCCGTGTTGTCCCCTCCCAGTTTGGCATTCATGTCGCCCATTAGAATTTTGATATCGCCAACTGACGTCTTGTCCAGTGTTGATTGAAGTTGTCTGTAGAAATCCTCCTT